AAAAATCCATTTTATTTTATTTTAACATGTAATCTATCATGTATCTCTTTTCCACAAGCACAAGTAGATACATGCATATAGTTTTTCTAATTTCAATGCATAGAAAAATAGTTTAAACACTTTACATTTAATTGTGTTAAATCCTTATCTTATACATACCATTTAGTATAAGGGAATTTCAATTTTCACTCCATTAGCAATATGAGAAGTCAAACTATATCCAATTTAAATCATATGCTACATGCAAAAGCCAATAGATTGCCAAAAAAAGTCATGCATATTTTCTAGAAATCGAATGGTATATTGTCAAACAAAAGGTGGACGGTTAATAGAATAGCCTTCAATAGTATTACGATTTCCAAAATATGCCATTGGATCAAACTCTTGGTGTTAAAATCACAATTCAAGAGAACCTCTCTGATGCGATCAAAAAATATAGGGGACCCTATATTTTTTATCACAAAAAGAACACTGACTTCCTATATAAAAGATGACACAAAATACCTCAAAATGAAGAGGTAACTTAAATAAGACTAAGCAGTGGAAATTAAAACTACAAATGATGGTTTCAACAACTTAAACTCTTACAAACAACTCCAAATAAAATAAAAAGACACCCTAAAGTTGCTTCACTTAGAGAAGAAGGATACATGTGGAGTAGCACTTGCGGAGAGACGAAAGAGGTTAGAAGCCCGAGAAGAAAGGTTGGAAAGAGCCCGCAGGATTTCCGGAGGGGATGAGAAAGAAGGGTGGAAAGAGCCAGCAGGATTTCCAAAGTAAACCCGCAGGTTAAAACTTTTCCAATAATCACATCATATTCAACTATTTCAAACATTACAAATCCTCCCATATTTATAGGTATGAAAGGGAATATAAAGAGACACATTACATTAATTCTAACACAAGAAACTAAGCATCAAAAGCATTAAACCCAAATGCTTTTCATGGAAAAAACACAACCCAAGCCAAGAACCGAAGGGGCAATCACGGTAACCAAGGAGGCCGCACGGATCCAAGGAGTCACGGTTACGGAAAGGAGCCCAGGCATGGGAAACCAGCATCCGGCCGGAATCCAAGGGGGTAAAAGCAATGAAACCATGAAGGAAACCAAGGAGTCATGCATGGGAAGACTAAACAACTAACTTGGGATTCCAAAAGTCCTTTTTGGAACCCAAGAGACATCATAAAAGAAGACATTAAAAACTATAATAAAAGTGCATTAAATAAAAGATAAATATGAGCTAAAACTTAGCTAATAATGAGCTAACCCTTAGTTCAATAAGTAAACTAAATACCAGCTCATAAATGAGCTAAAATTTCAGCTCAATTTTGATTGAGCTAGTAGACTCAAGGGAAGCCAAAATTCATATTATTTTGGACATGAGTTGACCCCCCTTTTGTCTACATCACTAAACAATGAGATAAGCCCCCCCCCTTTGTCTACATCAGACTCCCTTTCTTGTGAACTCAGCTCCTGATGAGTTGGTTGTTGTTGTCTTCCGAGGAGGAGAAGAAGGAGCATCAAGTTCATTAATCAGGTCTTCATACTTCTGCATGATCTCATCTCGTTCTTTCAGAAATTGATCTTTTAAACGCTGCTTTTTCTTGAAGTACCTTTCTATACGTATGTGCATCCAAGATTGAAGCTTGTACAGTTCATATTCCAGAGGATGTGTTGACTTTGATGGAATCCACCTATCCATAGAATTTTCAATTTCTTCAGGTTTGCTTTATTTTGTCTTTTTTCATTTTTTTTAACTGACTCAAAAAAGACTCAAAAAATTCAATCTAAAAAAACTCTAGACTCACAATTCTTTTAGAGACTCAACAAGACTCACAACAAAACGACTTGATTTGACAAACTTAACAAACTACAACTTGACAAACCACAAACCTAGGACTTCATAACTTGCTCTGATACCAAAATGATGCGGACATGAACCCCCTTTGTCTACATCACTCTCTGATAGTAATCGAATTTCAATAATTGGCTATGAAATCAATTTAACGTGAAAATGATACACCAAGGGGGCTAAATTAGTTATTAAAAAAAAGTTCTTCAAAAATATTTGAATTAAAAATTAAATTAAAATTTCATGCTGAAGGCGTTTGAATAAACGAAATAGATCAACTCACCACACAACTTAAAACAAGTACAATTTTTCTGTTTTTGAATTTTGTAGAAAACAATTTTTTTATACTTTTTAAGAAAAATATGAATCACAATCAATCAAAACAAAACTTGTTTCTCATATCTAACCACAATCAAGCCAGAATGCTGAAAATATATTGCAAGGAAATAAAATGTAGAAAGTAAATGCGAAAAGTAAAGGCTCATAAACCGATTTTTATAGTGGTTCGGTCAATTTGACATACGTCAACTCCTCGAATGTCCTTTCTTCGAAAATTGTACTAACAAAGTGACTCTCCTTTAGCCCACAACTAGGCGGTGAATTCCTTCTCTCTTTTCACATGCGGAGAAAGCACCATTATAGACTTTTCACACCCAAAGAATCCCTCCTTTCATCTCCTCCGTCTGGCGGTGCCGCTATGTCCTCCTTTCACTTCTATGAATAGATGTCGTTTGAGTGGGCTTTGAGATGTGCAATGTTTCTTAAGCAGATTTGCATGATGCTGAGTCAGTTAGCTATCATTTTGGTTTGGTTTGAATGGATTGGTTTACAAGTCACAGTAAGGTCATTATTCTACTAGGCCCCTAGTATGTTAAAGTCACATAAAGAAGAGGTCAACTCGTCCAAGAGCTTGTCCATAGAATTCGATCATTGAAATCTCTAAAGCATCTTAAACTACTTGCTAGGTTGGAATGAATACTTTAGAGACTTCATCAGGGAAGCTTTGTTCTCAAAGATCTCATCATTTACTTGATGCTCATCTTAGGCCAGCTTTGTTCTCAATGATCTGATTCTTCTTTTGGTGCTTATCAAGAGTTTGAGACTTCAAATCATATCATGATACGCACGTAAACCTTATCTTTTAATACCAATCTAATGTGATTCTTGGAGCTTCTCTATAGAGCTCTTTTTTATTTCTTTTTCTCCATTGCACTTAAGTCTATTTTTGTCAGTAAAGTTCTGGTGTCACAAATAGATTTGAATTCAATAGATGCATTGATCAATATCTTAAAATTAAAGGTTGAGTTCAAAAAATTTTTTGGAAGCGGTTGAGTTCAATTAAGCAGTGGAGAATGGATGACAAAATGGCATGTTGAAGATATTCTGAATTTTTATTGACATTTGAAATTATTGTAGTTCAGTTCATATAGTGTAGATGGATTTAATACATCTACTCTACTAACAGGGTCATCAAAAAGTCAAATTTTTATGTGATCAAACCATCTAGGACGAGTCTCTTGAATCTTATATGCCGTTGGAGCTTCTCCAACCTTTTCATGTCTATACTCATTTTACATTCTGTCTCTAAGTGTATAGCTACTCATCCACCTGAGCATCTTTATCTCTGCAACACTTAACTTAATTTTATGTTTCTCTTTTAATGGCCAACATTCTGGTCATAAAGAATTGCATGTTTCACTATCATCTTATAAAAATTTCCCCTAAGTTTGAGAGTTACTTTTCTATCACAAAACAGACTTCCTCCACTCCAACTATCCAACTTGAATTCTACTAATAATATTCCTATCCATTTCAACATCACTTTGAACAATAGATCCTAGATATCTAAAATATGTACTCTTTTTTAATGACTGATCACCTAATGTCATAATTCCACCACTAGATCTATTACTAAAATGATACTATGTATTCAGTTTTAGATCTACCTAAACAAAAATTTATAGATTCTAAGGTTGACCTTCACAATTCAAGTTTTTCATCAACTCCCTCTCAACTCTTATTAACAAAAAGAATACACCAAGGGCATCCTTTTGCAAATGTCTAGTAAGAATATCCATAACTAAAGCAAAAGATATGGGCTTAAAGTTGAATCTTGATGTAATCCAGCTGAAATAGCAAAATACTTAGTCAAATCACCTTGTATTTGAACTTTAGTAAAAGCTCTTATTTACATATCTTTAATGAATTGGATATAAGTACTGTTAACTCTTTTTTTTTATAGAATTCTTCGTAGCACTTCCCTTGAAAATTTATCATATGTTTTCTCTAAATTAGTAAATATTATATATAGACTTTTTTTGCTCTTTCTATACTTCCCCATCAAACCTCTCAACAAATATATAGCTTACATAGTAAATAAATAATAATAATAATAATAATTTCTATACAGATATTTAAAAAATGGAACTAACTATGTTTTAAATAAATATGGAAGTTTAGTTCGTCCGAAGTCTGTAAAATAAATATTTATCATTGCAATTTACTTCAAGAAACTCGCTTAGCAATCTCTTAGCATAAAGAAAATCAGTCACTTCATTCTTGGAGTGATTTCAAGAATCCCCAACTTTTCTATATCGAGTCATCAGCTCCACACCCACGCTCTTAGTCCTACATTAAAACAATTTGTGTGTAAAAGACAGATGTGTTGGCATATGCTCTTCGCCCCACGTAAGGCAGTTTGTGTAAAAGACAAATGTGTTGGCATACATTGATGCTTTTGCTTGGTGAAGGAAATTTCATAGCAATGCTCCAAAGATTAAGGATTATCAAGCTAGTTTGAGAATAAAGACTTCAGGAAGCCTAATTCTTAATAATCATAAATAGTCGCAAATCAACCTCATGTGGGAGAAATTATTAGGTGTGGAGTGCGGGCGGGAGAACCGTCCGCACAAGCACTGCGTACCCAGCGGTACCGAGTGTGGGTACTGAGCTGGGTACCCACCAATGAGATGGCGTGGCATGTTTTTATTGGTCTCCGGATGCACTCCGCACTCCTCATATGTGGAGCACATGCGTGGTCTATTTTTTATTTTTTTTTGGTAAACACCAATGCAATATTTGTATGTTTCTCGCTTTTTCTATATTATGTTATGTTATATTGCATCATATAATTTTACACATGCTCAGGTCTTGGAGGAGAATTTGGACTGGGAGGATGTGCAGTGGTCACAAACTGGCGTGTGGGTGGCGGGAAAGGAATATGCTCTTGCTCGGGTTCATTTTCTCTCACCAAATTAGTGATTACATATGCATTTTATAGTTTGTATAATTTTTCCTTGTTCCAATGTAACCTTTGTGCCTTTCATTACATGTAAGATGCATAAACTGCCGTTGCTTTTGGCTTCTGCCATCAATTAAAATTCTTTTAAACGGTCTGATTTCCTTATTTTCACAGTATGGCAAAATAAATGGTACATGTTATGTCTGCGCCATAGCACATCGTACAATTGACATGCTATTTTGTTTTTCTAGTATAAATATTATACTTTATGTTCCCAGAATTCATTGGCCTTCCGAACACCTATTATATCATTGTGAAATTTATTCAATCTAAATAAAATTTTATTGCCCCAAGAAGCTTAAATTAATTTTCTATTTTATGTATATGATATTGATAAATCATTTTTGTTTTTGGGATATAATATTTATTTTTGATAAAATTTTGCATAATTTTTTTGTGCTTCCAGTTATTTTTACATTAGTGCATGCTACTGTATGTTCTATGCCCATTACAGATTTATAGGATGTTTGTGCTACGGTGTATTTTTCTTCACAAATATGCGAAAGTCTAAGGATTACTTCACTTCGATATACCACAATATTCACTTAGACCATGACCTGCTTCATATCTAACATCCTCAGAAGATTGCCTCCAGCTTCAGTCCCGTATTTTGGTATCCTATACAGGTAACCTGTTAATTGCATTCGGTAATTGTCTTTTTTTTTTTTTTTTTTGAAAATCGAGTAAGAAGGTTGAATTTATATTAGTGTGAAGGATTGCAATCCAATTTGTTTATTAGACAGTTTGCTACTTCAATGGTTATAATTTCCTTGTTGTTTAAAAAAGACCAATTAATAAAAAGGAGCGGATTTTAAACTTAAATTAGTTTGAGGATGTTAGGAAAAAATTTTAAAAATGATTAAATACAGAATTTAATTATTTTGAAATTAGAACTTCATTATCTGGTTTCTACTTTCACCGTGAACTTGTACTCTATTCACCGTTTCAATAAAAATTGGTTTTAATTAAAAAAAAAAATTCTATTGAAATTTGTTTTGTATTCACTAGTTTTAATTAAAACAATATAAAAAAAAATTCCAAGAAAACGATTTTGTATTCACTGGTTTTAAAAAAAAAAAACGATTTTCCTCTATAAAACGTAAAAGATATTTAAAAAGTAAAATTAGAATATTTAGTTTTTATAAGGATTTAAAAGTAAAAGAGACTTAAAAGTAACTTTTTTATAACTTTTTAGTGCATATATATATATATATAATCATTTTAAGTATAACTTTTTATAATTTTATCTCGATTTAATTTATTATTTTATAAATAAATAACATTAAATTTATCTATTTTGTACATAAGTAACATTAAATTTTATAAATAATTAACATTAAAAATTGTGATGAGATATATTTTTCTTATAATCATTGTATATATATATATATATGTTTCTTATAATAATTTTATACATTCTGAATGGAGGTGCTGGCGGCAAACATAAGAACAATTCAATTTGCATAGATTATGACAAGTTTTGTCATAAGCAGTGTAATAATTAACATGGAGCAGTCGGCTGACCATTATTTCAGTGCTGGGACACTGCTTTGATACATAAAATTATTCAAAGATTATTTACTAAAGTGTTATTATAGTTATGTCTATGGCATAAAATTGATTTGACAGATAAGATAAGATTGATTAATCAAAATGATTATTCTTATAACAGTTATATAATTGCAAGTAAATATTGTAAATAAATAATAATCAAAATTGTTTAATTTTCAATTATATAACAATTAACCATCATTTTCTGGAAGCGTTTCTTTCCCCTAGCTGAGTGTTTTCATGATTTTAGAAATTTTAGAGAGAGAAATTGTGAGATTTTAGAGTGAGAAACTGAGATTTTGAATTTTTCTGTTCGTCTGTTGCATTTTTTTAGCTTAATGGCGAAGGGTGGCCGTCGGCCTCCTGCCGTTGTGGAGGACGATTCAAATATTAAAGTCAGAACTTTCTCTGGAAGACTATATGATATTCACGCTTCGTTTGATTGGAAGTTTTTTGTGCTTATTCCGTTTTAAAACAACAAATTTATTTCTTCTTTACTATTTGGTTCATCAAATCACGTTATCAATAACTCTCTTTTTTTTCTGCTGTTTTGAAAATGTTTTTTATATATGCTTCTCCGTTAGAAAATTCTATTTTCCGAATCAATGTTTCTTAAAACTGTCTTTTACAAAAGTACTAAATAACCAAACGAAGCCTCAAACTCCAGGGAAACGGTACAATGGCATTCAAATCAATGAAAGGTGCCAATGCAGGTTTTTTAAAAAATTCAAAATTTCTGTTTAATTTGAATTCTTCTGAGTTTCCTAGTCATTCAAAAGGCAAAGATAAATTAGTTACGAATCATGAGTCAAAATTTCGAAGGACGAAAACCATGACATTCATCAAAGATCCTGAAGCTTCTTCCTCCAAATCCGTTCGTGTTGACGAATCGTCTTCCAACATGAATAATTTTGTTTCTAAAAATTTAGCTCTACATCAAAGCCTCCATTCATAATATGTAAAAGAATTAAAATCTCTAATTGTTGAAGGAAAAATTTCTTGTATGGACATTGAAATCAATGATGCTAATAAGATTAATGGTGTTAAAGTTGTGAATCAAACTTCTGAAGACTCTTTCAATGTTCTTCATAATCAATTTGAAAAGAAAGATTAAGTTAATGATCAAGGGAAGATTTAATTCTCCATTTTAATCTGATTCCAATCTTCAAAATGCCTGGAGGATTCCTGATCACTTTCCTTTGGATTTTCAAGAAGATCTCTCATTTTTTTTTCTAAAGATGGTAAAACTGTTACTTTGCATATGCAATTGGAACAAAAGAATTTACCGCAACTGAAAAATGTATTAATCATCAAAGTTCTCGGTAAGAGACTTCCTCTAACTATTCTTAACATAGAATTTCAAAGACTTTGGTTTAAATTTGGTTCTTTTCAAATAACTTGTATTGGTCTTGATTGGGTCTTTTGTAACTTTCAAAACAAGGCTAGAGATAGAGTGTTAAATGGACGTCCATAGTTTATTGGAGATCACATTGTAGGTATTGATATATGGACACCATCATTTTATCCTTTCTCTTTGAAAGGAATTTCTTTTACCTCTTTGGATTCGATTTTCTCATTTACCACTTCATTGATGGGATCCAATCAACATTTCTAGAACTGCCTCAAGAATTGGCCATCCTTTGCTTTTAGACTCTCAAACGTTTAGTTGGAATATAAGAGAATTTGCTAGAATTTGTGTTAGAGTCAATATTGAAAATAAACTTCCTACAGGTGTTTGGATAGAAGGTTTGAATGGTAAATTTTTCCAGTCAGTTGATTATGAGAAAATATCCAATATTTGTTTTAATCGTAGAAAATTAGGCCCTAAGAAATTATCTTGTAAGTAGTTAGATAAAGCATCTCATAGAGAAAAAGAAATTTATGTTAAAGCAAAAATCTCATCTCAGCCGTCTACTATGAATCATTTGAAATTTGATCTTCCTCCACATATAAAATAAATATAAATATTTTTGAAACTACTGTTGATAAAAATTCTTATTGTGGCTGGATTCTAGTGAAGAACAAAATTGGGAAACCAAAGCAAGTTATATCAAATGTTCCTATCAAAAATGATCTTAAAATAAGTAATGGTGTAGTTAGGTCTAGATTTTTTGCTCTTCAAGATAATATTTCTAATGATAAATTTGAGTTGGCTCAATATTTATCTATTGATATCATTGATCTTCATTCACCTGATCTGAACATCAAGAATGTTGTTTCTGCTACTAAGAAATCTACATATTCCATTGAAGTCACTAACAATTCAGTTTCTGCTACTGAATTTTCTGGTTTTAAACCTGCTACTGAAGTTTCTACTAAAGAATTTTCTAAAATTTTTGCTAAGGAGAAATCTACTCCTGTAGTTTCTGCTACTTATGTTTATGCTACTGAATTTTCTTGTGTTAAATCTATTATTGAAGTTTTTATTAATGATGTTTATGAAGGTTTTCTTATAGAAGTTCCTACTACTGAATTTCTTGGTGTTCAATCCAATAATGACTTAGAAAAAACTATGGATTTATCAACAATAATAAAGAGTCTACCTGCTGAAGAATTTGTTCATAATTATGCTGTTGGAATGTCTTCTGAAATTCCTACAAGTAATCTTAAAGATCAAAAAATATCAAGGAATTTGTTTCAAATAATATTCAGGTTTTCAATTCTAACTCTTTCAAAAATAGTTAATCATGTGAATTCTAAATCATCTAGCAATAATGTCAAGCTGAGTAAAGAACTAAGACGATTAGGACCTATTGAAGAGGTCCCTAGAAAGAGATCAAATGTTGGGGATGGATCCCCTTTATTTAAATGATGTAATCAACTCTCTTTGGAACTATAAAGGAGCCCATAAAATTTAATAAATCAACATGATGTCTTTTTTATTGGTTTATTAGAAATCAAGATTGAAACACTAAATATAATTGACATTAATAAAATTATTGGTATTGAAAAGCAGGCTTTTAATTCACCAGCTATAGGGAAATTTAGGGGGGTTTTAGCTCTTTGGAAACCATGTGTAGACCCATTTTCAATCATTGTTTCTACTACCCAATGTATTTTAGGCAATATAGGTTTTCCTAATTCTTCATGTTATAAGATTAGCATTGTTTATGCCAATAAAGATGTTTATGCGAGGAGGCTTTTATGGCAAGATATTGGAAACTTCTTTTCTATCATTGAACCTTGCATTATTGGAGGAGACTTCAACTGCATCCTTTAAAAAAATGAAAAACAATGTGGGAAAAAATTCTCAATGTCACTTGGTCCTCAAGAAATGAAAGACTTTATGTCTATTAATGATCTTTATGACATCTCTTTCAACAAACCTCTTTTTACTAGGTGTAATAACAAAGAAGGCTTAAGTAGAATATGGGAGAGGCTTGATAGAATTTTGTTAAACTCTTCTGCTCTTTATATAATTCCTTTTATTGTTACCAAACACTTAGCTCATTCTTATTGAGATCAATGTCCTTTGCTTTTGAATTTGTCTAACAAGACTCATAAAGTTCATAAATTTATGAGATTTGAAAACTTATGAACTTCATATCCTGCTACTTCACGTTTAGTTTCTAATTCTTTGAATAAGAATGATTTTGGGACTTCATCTGAAATTCTTTCAATGAAAGATTGACAGAACTCTCAAGTCTCTTTACTTTTGGAGTAAAAAAA